CTTCAATCCATACAAGGCCTTTTTTAATCGACAAACTTTATTTCCCCCTTCACAGAATCAAAACCAGGCGGGATTTCCATGTAGACTTCTTCTTCTAACTCACCATTGAGGAAAGCATTTTTCACATCAAATTGATTTATATCCCAATTGTAATGGGCAGCAAGGGACAACAAGATTCTTACTGTATTCATTTTTGCAACTGGAGCAAAGGTTTCTTCATAATCAATGCCATAGGTTTGAGTGTAACCTTTGGCGACTAATCGAGCCTTGTATCTCTCAAGAGTGCCATCAGAATTATATTTTAGGGTATAAACCCATCTGCACCCTACTGCTTTCTTTCCGTTGGGTCTATCAATAACCTCCCATGTTTTATTTTTCTCCAACGCATTCATCTCCTCTTGCATGGCTTGAGCCCAATTCCCATCTCTCAAAGCTTCATGTACTGATTTTGGGATTGAAGTAGAATCTAGTGCTGAAACAAAGCTTTTGTGCTGCACAGAAAGATTAGCAGAGGAAACAAAATGGGAGATAGGGTATTGAGTACAAGAGGGACAGGAAGAACAAGATTTCTTGGAACAAGATCTTTTTCCTTTTCTTAAAGCAATGGGTAAATCATCAGAAGCAGTAGTAATGGGTAAGTCATCAGAAGTATCATGATCAGAAATATGAGATTCAAGACTTACCAGTGGTTCAGACGATTGAGGTTGCTGTTGAGGCAATGTGGGCTGTTTCCTTCTTTGATATACCAATTCAGGTGTTACAATCTTCCGTATCTCTTGTGTACTTGATGTATCAATCATAGGAGGATCAGTCACAGACACATTAGGAACAGGAACAAGAGGAAGAGACACTGACACAGGTGAAGGAGTAGACACTGAAGTTTCAAAGAAGGAAGGTGATGAGTCTTCTGGTGAATCATTCTCCCCCTGAAGATGAGGACCTTGGAAGGACTCAGATTCCTGAAATGTAACATCCATAGAAACAAAAAATTCCCGACTTCCAGGGTGATAACACTTGTAGCCCTTCTTATCAGGAGCATATCCAAGGAAGACACATTTAAGAGCCCTAGGATCCAACTTACTGCGATGCTGTTTATGAATATGAACAAAGACAACACACCCAAACACTCGAGGAGGAAGACTTTGCAAAGTTGGAATAGAAGAAAAAAAAGAAGTCATGGAGTGAATAGGACTTACGTGATCGAGAACCCGAGTGGGTAGACGATTGATCAAGAATGCTGCAGTAAGAATGGCATCTCCCCAATAGCATTTGGGTACATGTGTTTGAAATAATAAGGCACGAGCAACTTCAAGAAGGTGACGATTTTTCCTTTCAGCAACCCCATTTTGTTGAGGGGTGTCTACACATGTAAGTTCATGAATCATACCTTGATTTTGTATAAATTGGGAAAAAGAGTGATTGACATATTCAGTACCATTATCTGTCCTTAGTCTTTTGATTTTTTTACAAAATTGAGTCTCAATCATTTTATAAAATTGAAAGAACAGTTTTGGTACCTCAGACTTTTCATGCATTAAGTAAACCCAAGTTACACGAGTGCAATCATCAATAAAAGAAACAAACCATTTATTTCCAGAAGAATGAGGGACCTTAGAAGGACCCCAAACATCAGAATGAATAAGATCAAAAGGTTCAACACTTTTAGTAATACTAGAAGGGAAAGACACACGATGATGCTTAGCAAACTCACAAACATCACAATGATAAGACTCAACAGACTTAGACAAAAACAAAGACGGAAATAAAGACTTGAGTAAACTAAATGGAGGATGTCCCAAGCGCTTATGATGAAGCCAAATCAGAGAATCAGCAGTTGACTGGCCATGTGACAGTAAGATGTGATCCTTAACATGAGTTGCAGGAGATTGTGACACCAGATAATACAGCCCACCTTGCTCTTTAGCACCCCCAATCGTCTTCCCTGTGGCGAGATCCTGAAAAACACAGTGAGTAGGAAAGAAGGTTACAGTGCAATTTAAATCTTTTGTAATTTTATGAATAGAAAGAAGATTAGTAGAAAGTTTAGGGACATGAAGAGCATCTTTGAGATGTAAGGAAGGCTGTAATTTTATGTTACCAGAACCCGCAACTGATGTATGGGAGCCATAAGCTACGGCTATCGTATGAGTGCCAATGGTAGGGTTATAAGAAACAAAGGGGTCAGCACAACAAGCCATATGATCAGTAGCACCAGAATCAACAACCCAAGAATGTTTAAAATCAATACATGAAGTAAGAAAAGAAGAAATTTTGGAGCTCATACCAGTCATAGCCAAATCACTAGTACCAGATGGCTTACTCAGAGAATCAAGAATGGTTCGAAGTCGTTCCAACTCATCTGGACGAAGTGCAGGTTGGGTCTCATTAGGTGTAGGAGCTATATCAGAAGAAGTAAAATGCGCTTGACCACGCATCCTTGCCATCTTTTCTAAGACAGTTTGTTTTCCATGGAGGCGATAGCATAGATCCTTGATATGACCTGTTCTTTTACAATAAGAACACCAGCGATCATCTTTCTTAGGTCTAGAAGATGCTCCATCAGAATATTTTGGAAAGGAACTCCTGTAAGTAGAACCATCTTTTTTTGTTGAAATCATAGCAGACCCATCAGTGGGTTTAGAAGCAGCACCATCTTTTGATGATAACATGACAGATTTATCAGGGTTCATCATAACACCCCGACGATTCTCCTCTCCCCGAACAGTATTGAAAACAGCAGAAAGGGATGGAAAAGTTTCTTTGCCAAGTATCTGAACCCGAATAGGATCATACTCGGAATTCAAACCAGCAAGAAAATCAAAAATACGCTCATTTTCTACCTCCTTGGCTAAAGCAGTAGCATCTGCAGTACATTTCATCTTCAAACTCTGAAATTGATCATGTTCAGTCCATAACTCCTTCAAGGTGCCATAGTACTCAGTCACGGATAAAGAATCTTGTTTTGTAGTGAATATTTTATTGCGCAATTCATAGCGCGCAGCCATATCCTGTTTCAAGGAATAAGTGGAGCGGACAGTTTCCCAAATCTCCATAGCAGAAGACAAGAACATACAATGACGACCCACTTCAGGAGTCATCGAATTCCACAACCAAGTCATGATAAGAGAATCCTCATTATCCCAAACAGCAAAATCGGGATCCGTGGCAGCAGGAGCAGGGCCATCAAGATGAGCAATCTTATTGCGACTCTTGATGGTAGTACGAATGAACTGAGACCATGACAAATAATTTGATCCGTCAAATCGATAACTCTGATGTAGATTTGGAAGATCATTGTGACCAAGAGGGGTCACCACAGATGAGGTAGAATTTTTTTCAGATAAGTTTAGAGTTGAATCACCGTCGGAAGCGGCCATACTGCAAAAACAACTCAAGGAATAGTACTAAGAAGCCAAAAAATCACGAAAAATTACCAAACGAGGTCCGATCAAAGAGGTGAGCACAGATCCAGAACGAGCTTGGAGAGTCGGTCAAGACTGCACTGGTCCGCAGCCAATAGCAACCGTCACGCGCTGTCACGCGCCGGTGAAGCTGGTGGCGCGTGAGATTCACGCGCAGGGAAAGAAGTGGCGCGTGGAGGCGCGTCTGACGTCCGATCGGGCTGGGCTTTTCAGGCGAAGGTCGTCCAAGGGTTGGGAACCTATCTGGGGCTGATCGGAGTTGAATGGCCGCCAAAAAGAAGGTCAATCGCGATGAACAGTGTTCTTGGTTAGTGAAAAACGCTTCTGTTTGGAGGTGACGTGGAACGGTTCAGTTTGGGGTCTTGTTATTGAGGAAGATGAGAGAAAAACAAAGAGAAGCAATGATCTCTCGGTCCAAGAGGTCCCTGGAAAATTTTTCCGGTGGCGGCTGATGGCAGCGAGAGATGGAAAACAAAAAAAAGGGTTTCGTAGGCGCGGAAGCAGAGCCCTCAAGATCGAGAGCTCTGATACCAACTTGAAAAAGGGTATTCTGATATATTTTAGAATTGTAAATAATGTGTACAAGGGATTCTCTATTTATAGAGAATATGTGACCTACTTTTAACCTAAAGGCCTTGGCCCAATACAACAAAGGGCTTGGCCCAATACAACAATAAACTAAATAATAACTAAATCAATATTATTTACAACACTTCTCCATCCAAATACACGAGAGAACTGAATAAAATGTAATTTCCTTAAAATCATATCTTTCTACCTGCCAATTTTTTTTTTAATAACATATGATGAGAAAGTGCTTCGAGGTGTAATGGCACACCCAATATTCATCAAGAACCCTGAAATATGATTCCACGAGATATGAGCTTCCGGGCAATACAAAAATTTGTGGGCTATTGTTTCTGGAGTTGACCTGAACATATCAGATTAGGAGGATTTGACCTTAGAGGGAATCATTTGTATTAAGACTATTAAAGTACCTTTGTCCGAAGAGTGATTTGACCTTCAGAGGTAGTTTTGGACTTCGAAATAGGTTTTGTAAAGAAGGAACTTCCAATAATTAAGAGAATGCGTCAGAAACTTAGAGAAAGAACTTGCAAGAAAACACTCCAAGAGAATCTTAAGTACATATAATCCACCCTGGATTAAAGGATAGATGAGTCACAAAAAGGGCAGTTTGGTTCTATAAAACTCCTGCTATGCACGGGGTCTAAGAATGGGTCTATACTCTATAGTAGGCAGGTTTTGCAGCATTTGCAAGAGGTTGATTACAAAAATCAAACTTGTAACCTTTGGGTCACATTACGACAACATCAACTGTTGTGTCATGGTTATCCTTTAGAGGATAAATAAATCGAATTATGAAAAATCATATGGGTCTATAATTCACTAGTTTCTCTATTATCAAGTTCCTTTGAAGTTTTTTTTTCCCTTTAACGGTATTATATAAATCTTTCCTGTTGAATATCTACTCTATTTACAAAAGTTCCAGTAGTTTAAAGATGTATTAGAGTCTTCTATTATATTCGTATATGATATCTTACATATTTGTTTTTGCTGATACAGTGGTTTGGAGATGCTGAAAAACTAACCAAAGCGCTTTTCTCGTTTGCCAGCAAGCTTGCTCCCGTCATTATATTTGTTGATGAAGTGAGTGTCTGAATGCATATCTTTTTCATTATTATTATTTTTTCCCATAAGCTCTTTTAGGAAGCAACCCAAAAAAAGCAATTATTTTCGAGAAATAAGATAATCCAAAGCCGCACTAATTCTCTGATACATTGAATTTTGAAGTTTTTAAAATATTTTTATTTATTTTGATTTTTTTATTCTGTATGTTAAATTGTTAATGCAACAAAATAAATTGCAATTTAAGAAGTCCAATAATTACTTAGAATGGAACTTCAAAGACTAACCATGTCTCTTTTCTGCCACAACTCCGATTTGTTCTTTAATTGATTAATTGAAATGGAAGGAGAATTTTTGTTGCACACATAAGATCTGGCACTTCTCTTAATGATACTTATGTTACGTAAGATATCTCAATGCATAGCAATAAAATCATACTATCTTTAATATTCTCTTGATTATGCCATGAATTGAATTTTTTGGATGATTAAGGTATTTAGATTTCAATCTCTCATGATTTTTGTTTTTCCTTTTGGTTTTTGCTTCAGGAAAAGCTGAACAAAAAATAGTATGCTTGATGATTTTAAATTTCATATATTTCTCCATTTTTTGAAATTTTCTCTCTCTAGTTTTAACTCTTCAAAAGTCTTTTCTTGAAAATTTATTTTTTAGAAATGCCAACACCAGTAATCTTCCTTCTTTTGTTAACTAAGTTGTAATTAAGTCTATGCTTCATCAGTTTATCTTACCGATCATGATTTCAGTCTCTCATGATTTTTGTTTTTCCTTTTGGTTTTTGCTTCAGGAAAAGCTGAACAAAAATAGTATGCTTGATGATTTTAAATTTCATATATTTCTCCATTTTTTGAAATTTTTTCTCTCTAGTTTTAACTCTTCAAAAGTCTTTTCTTGAGAATTTATTTTTTAGAAATGCCAACACCAGTAATCTTCCTTCTTTTGTTAACTAAGTTGTAATTAAGTCTATGCTTCATCAGTTTATCTTACCGATCATGACTTAGTAAATTGGTTTCTGACTAGAATCTGTATTGTAGGTTGACAGTTTGCTTGGTGCTCGAGGTGGTGCTTTTGAGCATGAGGCTACTAGAAGAATGAGGAACGAGTTTATGGCAGCTTGGGATGGATTGAGGTCAAAAGAAAGCCAAAGAATCCTCATTCTTGGTGCAACAAACCGGCCATTTGACCTTGATGATGCTGTTATTCGTCGCTTACCAAGGAGGTAAAATAGCATGATGACTCTTGGAAAATTAGAATTATTGGCTGAAGGGTTATAGCCGTTATCTTCTGTTCAATTATCACATTTCTGAATTATGATGTCCCATGTTCTGTCTGATTTTTGTACAGTTTTATGTTTTTTATCCTTGTCTTGCCTGTGCTACATCACTTATTGTTTATTGGGGTGAATGTGAAAAGTTGATAGGATCCGGTGGAAGTTAACACTATTTTCTGGTCATTATCATCCCTGACTATAAAGAGTTTTATGCTATCAGTTAATCATATATCAAGGATCAACTCTCCTTAAGCTATTAGGTGAAGGTTCATAAATTTAACTTTTCATTGGAAAAAGGGGGTAGTATGAATTGAACTCCTGACTACTTCATCATAGAAACTCTGATGCCTTATCAAAAGACTAACGCTCAAAAATCTTGAGCTATAAGATAAAGGCTCATGAATAGTTTCATATCTATAACTCATAATGCCACTAGTTTAAAAACTTGTTACAAATTTTTACTGCAAGGGAAAGACTTCAATGTTATATTGATGCAGCACTTTCTTGTAGTACTGAGATTGTAGAACATTTTACTTAAATTTTAATTCTACGTTTGTGATGAATACAGGAAAGTACAACTTTTTTGCTAACTAAGCTTTGTTTTGGCATTGCATTTTTCTAGGATATATGTCGATTTACCAGATGCTGAAAACCGATTGAAGATTTTGAGAATATTTCTAGCACAAGAAAATTTGGATACTGATTTTCAGTTTGATAAACTTGCTAACTTGACTGATGGGTACTCTGGCAGTGATTTGAAGGTAAATATTGTTAAGTGCAGCTGAATAGAGAGTGCTATATGTTTTATGCTCCACTATGCTGGACCATGTGACGAATGGGAGGGAAAGAATATGGGAGAGGGCTGAGAATGCTCCCATATTTTCTCTCATACCTCACATTTCTCACGTTGTCCAGCATATGGTGGCCAACATTATATTTCTCATGCTTTTCTTTTTGCTGCAATGTATAACATTCTGTGTAAACTTCTCAAGCCATGTATCTCATGCTGCTTCTTGCTTACATTTGGCAGAACCTCTGTGTTGCTGCAGCATATAGACCTGTTCAGGAGCTCTTAGAGGAAGAAAAGAAGGTACGGGGATTATAAAATTAGTCTTACTTGATTGATGATTGTGCAGTGAATATGTGAAAATTAGCTCGTTTTTCTTGTAGTGATTTCTGACTTTCTGTGCAAAATTCAACTTTTTAGTTTTACTAATATATGAAATGAATATATCAATCAATTTGGCTTCTTGTGTGTCTAGAAAGTAGTCTCCACTTAAAAGAAAAAGATTTCTTCTGATACATATTTTTTACTTAGTGGTGGTAAAGCACAATAACTGAAATTGAACAGTCAAATGCATTAGCAGTAGGTAACAAGTGTGGTTTCAATGGATGTAAGAGTTAGCTCCAGATTATTCCTTGAGATTTCTTTGTTGACCTAATCTCTTGGCTGCAATGCTTTTAAATATCAGATGTTGGTTAGTGTTCTTCCAGAATCCTATATTTTAAGCAAATGAAAGCTTTTATTTACCTTTATCTGTACTTTTACGAGTAAAAAGAAAATAGTAGATTTTCAGATAGTTTCAAAGTGATTTCTACCTATGTAGATTCTCTTCTTTCCACCCGGCATCATTTTGGGAAGTCAAATTCACAGCTGCAGCTTCACTTCCATTTCTATGTCAGTACTTTAATGAGCTTTGTTTGCCTGCTCACATGCTGCTATCTTTTGGTTTGCACAGGGAGGCAATAACAGTACATCTTCGGTATTAAGGCCTCTTAATTTGGATGATTTTGTTCAGTCAAAATCCAAGGTATACAATATTTTTTTTTTTTTTTTTGATAACAAGGTATACAATATTTTATTTGTTCATTGTGATGTTCTTATGTGAAGTAAAACTGCTTTCAACGTATATATATATAAAGTTGTAGACTAATGTTAAGTTTTAACATTTATTTCTTTTTGTGTGCATTTGTTGCGTCTATTTTATGCAAGCTTCCCTTTGTTTCCTGATTACCATGTATATAAATTCTTGAGACCTGAGAGTTTGATATAAATTTACTGGTTGCTTATTAGAACCTTTCTTTTAAGCTTATTATAATCTTCACTGCTTTTCTCTTGGAGGCATCATTATTAGTTAACAATTTGAAATGGATGACCCCTTAAAATGTGTAGGTGGGTCCATCAGTTGCCTATGATGCAACAAGCATGAATGAATTGAGGAAGTGGAATGAAATGTACGGAGAAGGCGGTAGTAGGACAAAGTCACCATTTGGATTTGGGAGCTGATTTTGATGGTTCTATGACAACAACTTATTGGCAATAGTGCAATTTACACCGAAGCATAACATGGAAAAGAGCTCTAGATTGATTTCACTTTATACTTTTCAACGGCCTCTATGATTGCTCATCTGTTGCCAAATTATTTGGTATCCATATTTGGTATAATTTTCGGTACAAGCAGTGTTTTTCCCAAACTTATTCATGCACCGGTTCTGTTTAGGAGGCTGTCCTTTGAGGGAGAATCCTTTCATCCCGTTTTGAGCTGATATAAGAGCAATTCAATCTAATGTATTGTAATGAAATGTAGGTAGCTTCTAATTTTTTCTAGCGAATACCCAATCATAAGTTCAACTATAGGGGTAAATTTCCCAATTTTTTTTTTTTTGTCAGCAATGTTTAATAATGTAATTTCTCTATGTGCTGTTGTCGTATCTACTACTGACTCATTTGGCGTAGTAGTTTATAAAAAAAAAAGGCCTAGCTAGAAACACTGCCTTTGGGTGAATGAGATGATGTATTAGAAGCGGGATGCTATAACGGTATTAAGTGATACCCGTGTCTGTCAAAATTCTCTTTTCCTCTCTCAAATATAGCGTGTGTTTAACATACACAATAATTGAGGTCTCTTCCATGTCAACAGATTTGCCCAATGTGTACTTTAATATTACACTTTAATCAAAAAGGTTCAATATTCTGCTATGTTTAAAATGAAAACATGTTAAGAAAATTATCATTTTTAAAGTTTGATATTAATTTAAATATGGCGTTTGAATACAACTTGTGCTGCATCTGCTTTAAATTTAATATAAAAATCCCAACTAAATGACTAAACACTAGAAATTACATGCATAGATATTATTTCAAGGATAAACTTAATGGCAAAAATTTAATATTGTAAAGAATCAATTCAACTCAAAAGCTTAAGTTGCTGAGTGAAATATGATTTCATATAACTTAACAAATATCAATGAACCAATTAAATATGACATCCTTCGAGAGTAAAATAGACACTTGTACTCGTGTATATAGTAAAAACATTTATACGTATATGGCAAAAAACCAAAATGCATTTCGGCCATCGATGCCGGGAAATCAGCCACCCGCTAAAGTAAGCAAACCTATACTACTTTCACTCAATACAAGAGTCAAATCAACATACGCCAGCCTATACTATTTTCACTCAACCAAACAGGAAGTAAAATAAGCAAACCAACAAAAGGGGAAGGGAAACTTATATACATCGATAAATATTTTTTTCCCCCAATAAAATCGAATATACATAAAGGAAAATGAATATTAAAATCTAAATTTACAAAACGGTGTTTATGTGTAGAGCTTTAAGTAACGAAGTAGCCATCTGTTTGACCAACACTTGTCCATCTCTCCGTTCCCCTATTAAGTTTTGAAGTTTTTCAGGCAGATCATTCTCCACTATCAACTTCTTGGGCTGAGGGTGATGCTCATAAACAGCCTACCAGAACATTGATAAGAGATACGTAAGTATTATTGCTCTAGGGATAAACACATCTTCAAACACAAATTTGCATGTTGCACTCATACATACTATTTTATACTAAGCCATGTCAACATGAAAATAAAACAACCATGTTCCATTCTATTGACTTAGGAAAGTATTTGATATAAAGGTGTGCGTTTATTCAATACATGTATGTACTATTAAATATTCAGACCATACAGTTAAATATTTATTTTAAGTACATTACTAATTACAAGGGGACATAATCAATACATGTATGTAATATTAAATACTACTCATTATTATATATGTGATTTGAATCTAACATATTATGCATGTGCTGTAGACATTTAATTCCAACACTCTGCTCGAGCTGCAGCTATTAATAATTTAGCTTGTTACAAATAAACCCAGACAGTGGCAAACACAGCTAAATCTTAGCCAAACAAACCCCAATAATTCAGCAACTAAAGTAGGAATAAGACCGAATAGAACAAAACAGGATCATGACTTTTCTAGTTACGTGAAAACATAATTTAGACCCGAGACATCTGCATCAAGAGTTTTTAAGACAGGAGATATTTTCTCAAATGTTTGAACAAATGTTTATTAACACTAGACCTACGGATAAATATACATGTGCAGAGAAGCCAATTTGTCAAATGAAGCTACTGTAGATTTATTGTATTACTACATTACTATCTGAAGTTTTAGACAAAATAAGAATGTAAATAAATTTTTTTTAAGCATGTGAAGCCACAGGTGTAAAAGGGGACGAACCGGAGCAGTAGTGAAACTGTTCTTTCATGACTGAAAGATCATGGGTTCGAATCCAGGAAACAGCCTCTTTGCAATTATGCAAAGGTAAGGCTGCGTACAAGGATTTCCTCCACCCCACACTCGCTAGTCGGGTTTAACGGGAGTGTTTTTTTTTTTTTTATGTGAAGCCACACGTGTGAACATATATTTAAAGTTTATTAAAGTTCCACGAGTAAAATCCTGTGCCCCAGTACAATTTTGTTTTCTCTTCCTTGTTTAATGACTAATTATTTTACACTTGAGGGTGTTTGGTAGGAGGAATTTTTCAAATGCATGGGAAAGTGAGGGTGGGTTTCCTTGTAGACCATGTTTGGTAGCCAGTTTAAGAAAACTTTCCCGGGAAAATCATTTTCCCGGGAATCTGTTGTGTGTAAAACCTACACTACCACTGAAAAATACCACTCAGAGGGTGGTATTATGAGTTTCTCGGGTAAATGAAAAATTAGATGCGAAATTTGTGTCAACCAATCAGCATAAGAAAAATTAACCCAATATTCTTGGGAATATTTTAGCCTACCAAACAACTTTTTGATAATATTCACAGTAAACTCACTTTCTCACCATATTTCCGGGAATCAGGATTCCCGGATTATTTTTTTTTTTCTCCTCTACCAAACACCCCTAAGACAATGCAAAACTAGGTTATACTATACTGTGGAGCTATGGAAGTACCCACCAGAAATTTCAGTATGTATAACAAATATCATATATGCATACCTTTATTAGCCTGAGTAAATTAAGACGAGCTATAGCATCCTGATGATCAAGCCTTGCAATGAGCAATGGTGTTAATCCATTAACAGCCAATGTGGTATTGATCCGTGCAGATTTTCTGCAATATAACGATGACACCGATTAAATAAAAAACCAGAGAAAAGAAAGTAAGAATGATAACATTTGGAGATAAAAGCACAGAATGATTTTACAAGTTCTAACTACTGTGGCCGCATCACACAACAACGATGTCTAGGTACTTCTGGCAAGAGAGCTAAGTTGTACAGTATCTGGTTTTTTTATATTTTCTTTTCCTAGGAAAGTACCTATCCTCCACACTTGTAATCTCTTCCTTTCCTTTATATAATAAGAAAGAGAGAGGTTATCCTTATAACCACTATTCCCTTGCAACCACTTTTGTGGTCAACATCAACATCAACATCAACAACACCTTTATCCCAAATTAATTGGGGATAAATGTTGATTTGATTTTGATCATTGAATCAACAACATTTTTGTGGTCATTGAATCAAAATCAAATCAACGACTCTCATTTCACGTAATTTTGTAAATGTTGATTTGATTTTGGTCCAACGACCATGAAAGTGGTTGTAAGGAAAAAGTGATTGTAAGTATAATCTCTCTCATTAAGAAAATCCAAATTTGACTAGGAAGAACCAAAAAGCTCAACCCCAGGCCCCATCCTAATTAACCCCTCCCCAGCATAGCTTAGAGAGTAGGACACTACAAAGAATTATATACAATCAGTATTATTCCTTGTGCACTTCAACGGTAGTATCCAAAATTCTTAATGTCAAAGTCTCAACTTTTCTTTATTGAGTTAGCTGTTATCATTTTCTAAGATACCCTAAAACCAAGTTACCCAAGACTCTCTAGCCTCTTAGAGGCACGAATTATGTCCATCTGTGAACAAGCACTCGCATGCCAGATAAATTGAACTTTGTTAGAATAACCCATCCAACCGACCTTATAGAGTGTGGTGCACCAATAGTGCTTTTATCCTATATTCCCACAGCCTAACAGGTGAGACAAGGCTAGATAAGAAAAAAAGCTAAACAAAATTCCAATTTTGCCCCCACCATATCTTATTATTCCTACATAATTTGATGCTAGAAACTATAGAATTAATCTAAGTTCCAGTGAATCATGCCGTTGATATAACCCAGCCCCTTTGGTAGAATCCTAATTCCTTTTCTACCATCTATCAGTTTAACCACTACAAGTTAAGCACTCATCCATCCTACACCCATTCAATTTCATAAGAGGAAAAAGGGACATTGGTATAGCAACCCTTTGTTTATAACCTATCCAAACCAGACTAGTTTATCGAATAATTAAAGCTTAAAGGACACACAAAACCAAATAATTCATTAATTGGACGAATAAAGAGGAAGGGTTTAGAATACTATACGTGATGATTTTCAAGAATGGCTCCAATATATGTACAAAGTGCTGCTCTGGACAGCACTGGAAGAACTTCACAAGCTTCTGAACTGCATCCTTTTTCAGCAATGCTTGTTCAACCTTCTTATTGTCATTGTCGTGGGCTAAGCAAACAGCAATAGAATCCAATGCTGTCACAGACCAAAACTCATCCTCAAGAAGGTTCAAATATACATCCAAACCACCATGAGCCCTTAACTGCTCCCTTGAATTGCGAGATGCATGAGCCATGTCACATAGTAGAGGTAATGCGTATTGTTTCAAGGGAGAATTTGATGTGATAAATTGCATCAAATGGGGAATGATTCCATTTTCAGCTGCTTGTTCTTGTCTCCTCTTATTTATCTTGCATAGATTGAACAGTGCGTGCAGGACCTATAAAAGAGAAATGAGAGATGAGATTCAAACCAATGTTAGATATCTACCACAAAGCAAGACATAGGTAGGACAAAGAAGTTACAGATAATTACATACTTCTATAAAATCAAATGCCACAGTGAAATGAAATTGAAAAAGACAGTCCCAAAGCCCACAATACATTTAATTAAAAGGTAACTACATAACATTCAAAACTTATAGCATTGTCTGTGCACAATCTTTTTTTTTTTTAATTTTTTATATTATTATAGTAAAACAAGTTAGTAAATACTACATGACCACTGTTAAATTTAGTTGAACTTAATATAAAAGAAAGAAGAAAGAATGGTAAAGAAAGGTAATGAGAAATATAAGTATGCTTTATGCAGTTGATGACCTACCAATCAATTGCATATGTTGACAAGAAGTTTTTCATATATTGAATAGAACAATGAATAAAAGTTTTTGCTCCACAACTAACTTTTAACAACAGTAAGAAGGTCAGCAAGACTCACCTCATGATGTATCTCTGATACCAGAGACCCTTCTTTGAGTTCAAGATTCGGTATCAAGTATTTTATTGCTTCAGCACGCTGAAGATTTTCTAAGCAATTTGGGTCAGTTGACAGATGATTGATACACCTCAGTATCTAGAAAACAGACCAAAACATAAAAGGTCAGAAACTAAACTTGTAGGATATAAGCTAAACTAACAAAAGAAAGTTTTGTGTCACACCTTCAACAGAATAGGAGGCTCCACCCTATTAAACATCTGGAAAAGACGACTGAGCAAGCTTTGGCTACACATGTAAGACTTTACTGTTGTGTCGGCTTGTGCAAACTCAAGCAGAAGATCTGCCACTTTTTCTAAGTACTCTCTGGTAACTTCTGCATTCAATGATGAATCCGAAAGTAGCCCAGATGAAGTAGCACTACCTGGTCTAGCATTTAGAACACCTGAACCAGACAGTACACCTGATGCTGTCTGAGATACAATCCCAGATGTGGAAGCAGCTCCTTCACCAGAACCCTGAGTCCCTAATTTCTTGGGAGTGACTTTTTGAGACACTCTAGCGCTGGAGTCAAGATTTCCATTTTCCCTTCCACGTTGAGAAACATCTACACAACCACACAAATACTGTGGCATTCATACAGAAACACAAACGATAGCAAAACCACACAAAGGTAGCAGAAAAGTTAATGTTAAAAAACAAACAGAACAAAACAGAGATCTCAGAATCAGATAGATCTTTCAACCTCGCTGGGAATACTCATTTCTCATAATAATTACATTTACAAGAATAGGTTATTTCAAGTTGTCTTAGCAAAGAATTCATGGTTTTAAAACTTAAGCAAATGTGCAACAGTGCTTAGTTGCTTCAAGTTTTAATAGGTGAGGAATTGGAATAATTATATATTGGAGTCTGATACCTTGAATATTTCCTCATAGGGTAGGTTATCGTCTACAGTAAGGTTCTGGTTTTATATTGTTAGTATTTAAAATATTTTCATCAAAAGGAGCAGATAGATCATTATTACCTGCAAACTCTGCCATCAAAAAGTCTAGTTCACCATTTGTTTTCTTTTCAGAGGCATGTAACAAAGGGAGTACACTTTCATGTCTTTCTAATCCCGAAAACTGACGTACATACTCAAGCTGTCCAGAAAAACGTCCAGATGGGGGCTCTTTCTCCAACAAGCTAAGAAGAGGCCTAACTTGCTCTTGCTGTGTAGCTCCTGTTACTGATAACCCATTTGATACAGATTCTGTCGATTTTGGATGCCTATCTGTTGATGTCCTGTTAGCAGAAATACTAATACGCTGCTGTCTGGGTTCAACATCCACTCGAGAAGGATCAGTTTTCCAACGATCTACATTTTCTCGCTCTTTTAATGTACCTGCTGAAGATTCCCTGGATGCTAGATTCGAACTCTTCTCTAGCGATACAACTTCAACTGCTGCATTGCTTGATTGAGGTCTATCAACATCCAAGGGATAATTAGCATCTGATCTACGAGGATTGGAGGATGAAGCATGTGAAGGTTCTAAGTGATGATCAAGTACTCCACGCCTCACTTTAGGGATATCTTGCTGATCTACTGAAGAGAGCAGTGCCTCATTCTGATTGATAAAAGGATGTGTAGAATCCAAGATACCAGAACGTGGCCGTTGAGCCGAACCATCAACCAAAAATCCACCCCCAACAGATGTAGAAACTAGTCGAGTTGACTCATTTAAGCTATATAGAGTATTTATAAGCCTAAGGAGTATTCCATTCTTTGCAGCGATCCGACAAAAATCATTTCTAGGCGTTGACTGCTGTAGCTTAAATACCTGCCACATGCCATCAATAGCCAGATGAACCATCTCCCTGAGACAGAAGTTGTGCAGTCAGCTATTATTGTTAAAAAATTTGAGAATACAAAGTACAAGCTTATGCACATTCTGGGTAAAAGCAAATCGAAAGAATGGAAAAGTCAGTTTTTTGCTCAAACGATAAAGGAACCACAATATATATATATATATATATATATATATATATATATATATATATATAGTAAGTAATCATAGAGATGCAAACATTATCTAAATTCTAAAAGCTTACTGAAAATCCTAAGGCATCAAATCAGAATCTAGAGCTTAGGCAGTTTCAAGAATAAAGAAACAAATCAACCCAAAAAGCTTAAGCTTTTAGGTGCAGGCCAAGGAATGGTGTCTTTTATATGTAAAATAAACCCTCACACAATACTAGATTCTCAGCTTTAACTGAGAAAATGAAAGACTTGAAAGTAAGAAGGTATTTGTATTCAATTGTGTGTTAACCTAATACAAAGAGTTACAATATATAGAGACCCTAATAGGCTTAAGTGAGAAGCCTAGAAATATTAACAGATAGGAAGTAATCTATTCAAATCTAATCAAATCTAATCATATCTAATCATATGTAATATTTCCTATTCTAATATTTCTAACACTCCCCCTCAAGTTGGTGCGTATATATCATAAGCTCCCAGCTTGTTACATATATGATCTATTCGGGGACCTCTAAGAGCCTTGGTGAAAACATCTGCAAGTTGATCACTGGAATTAACAAATGTTGTCTCGATTTACTCTTGACTGAATCTTCTCTCTAACAAAGTGACAATCAATTTCTATGTGTTTGGTCCTCTCATGAAAGACTGGGTTAGAGGATATATGCAATGCTGCTTGATTGTCACATATGAGCTTCATGGGCTGCTGTTCACAGAGATGTAGCTCCTTAAGCAATTGTTTTAGCCAGATGAGCTCACAGGTTGCATTTCCCATTGCCCGATATTCTGCCTTTTGAAATTCGACTTCATTATGATAAGTGTTCTTTTTTTGTGTATTCATGAAAAGGAATAATTCCTTCGAATCTTAGCAATTGATATCTTCTGATGGTCTGTGGACTTTTGTTGCTCTCCATGGCGCTTTCGGATTAATCGGTTTCATATTCTGCCTCTGCACTTGACCTTGCGATAACAGTTTGTTTCTTACTTTTCTAAGAGATCAAGTTTCCTCCAAGGAGAACACAATACCCCGAGGTGGATCATCTGTCTGAAGGAGAACCTGCCCAGTCAGCATCTGAATAGCTAGATACCTTAGCATTTCCTTTATTTGTGTATAATAAACCTCTTCCTGGTGCTCTTTTGATATATCGAAGAATCCTGATAACTGCATCCCAATGGGAGTCACAAGGAGAGTCAATGAATTGACTTACCACACTAACTGCAAAAGAGATGTCTGGTCTTGTCACAGTAAGATAGTTTAACTTTCCAGCTAACCGGCGATAAGGACCAGGGTCTGCCAATGGCTCCCCCTGTCCGGGTAACAGCTTAACATTAGGATTCATAGGTGTATCAATAGGTTTACATCCCAACATACCAGTCTCATCTAGGATATCCAGTGCATACTTCATCTGACAAATGGAAATGCCCTGCCTAGACTGTGCCACTTCGATCCCTAAGAAATATCGAAGTCTGCCAAGATCTTTGGTCTTAAACTGATTGAATAAGTATTTCTTTAACTGATCAATCCCAACTTGATCGCTGCCAGTAATAATGATGTCATCAACAGAGACTAGAAGATAGATACACTGACCAGAGGAGCTATGCCTATAGAAGACATAATGATCGGCTTTACTTCTGGTTAAGCCAAAGGATAGAACCGTAGAACTAAAGCGACTAAACCAAGCCCGAGGGAACTGCTTCAGGCCATATAAAGATTTACGAAGCTTACATACCATTCCAGAATTCTCCCCCTGAGCAACAAAACCTGGTGGTTGCTCCATATATACTTCCTCTTGCAAATCACCATGTAAGAAAGCGTTTTTGATATCAAGCTGTAGAAGGGGCCATTGATGAATGGAAGCAAGTGCAAGAAATAGGCGAACAGATGCCATCTTGGCAACAGGAGAAAAAGTATCCCCATAATCAAGACCAAATATCTGAGTGTATCCTTTGGCCACTAAACGAGCTTTGAGGCGATCAACAGTGCCATCAGGACCAACTTTGACAGTGAATACCCATCGACAGCCGACGAATGACTTTCCGGGAGGAGCATGAACAAGATCCCAGGTGCCATTGGAGTGAAGTGCTTGCATTTCATTAATCATCGCCTGACGCCAACCCGGATGAGATAGTGCTTCACCTGTAGTTTTAGGAATAGAAACGGACGAAATACTAGAAATAAAAGTAAAATGTGGTGAAGAAAGTCTATCATAAGTCAAGAAACTATAAAGTGGATGAAGGTTGCGAGTGGATCGAATACCTTTGCGAAGGGCAATGAGAGTAATCTTTGTTGGAGGATCCGGAGGGGAAGAGTCGACTGGAGCAGGCAGTGAGTCAGTAAGAGTCAAATCTGCTGGAGGCGCAGGCTGACGACGCTGATAAGTGAGAAAAGGACGATCCTCAGGGATGGAGGCAAGGGGAAGCTCCTCTGGGATAGAGTCACCTGCAACTGGTAAAGACAAATCAAGACAAGGAACAGGAAGAACATAATCAACTTGTGCTATCTGAGACAGGATAGAATGAAAATGTTGTTGATCAAGGAAAGTGACATCAGCCGAAACAATATAACGCTTGAGATCAGAAGAGTAGCAACGATACCCCTTTTGAAAACAAGTGTATCCAAGGAAAACACACTTGAAAGCTTTGGATGTTAACTTATCTTTTCCTGGAGTAAGATCATGAAAAAAGCAGGTACATCCAAATACATGTGGAGCTAGAGGATAGGAAGGTGCTCCTGGAAATAAAACACTATGCTGAACTTCATTATTGAGTACGGAAGAGGGCATACGATTGATGAGAAAGCAAGAAGTGATTATAGCATCTGCCCAAAAACGGAGTGGAACATTCATATGAATTAGAAGGGTACGTGCAGTTTCAACCAAATGTCTATTTTTACGTTTAGCCACTCCATTTTGTTGTGGAGTGTGTGGACAGGTGGTCTGGTGTATCGTTCCATGTTGTTCCAAAAAATTAGAAAAATTAAGAGACACATACTCTTTTGCATTATCACTACGCAATATCTTAATAGAAGCACCAAATTGAGTATTTATTTCAGCACAAATTTTTTGATAAATTGAAAATAATTCAGAACGGTTTTTCATTAAATAAACCCAAGTACAACGAGATAAATCATCAATAAAGGTTACAAAATACTGAAAACCTAAAACAGACAAAGTTTGACTTGGACCCCAAATATCAGAATGAACAATAGAAAATGGAGCATCAGCTCTTTTATTGACTCTATTAGCAAAGGAGAAGCGAGTGTGCTTTCCTTGCTGACAAGACTGACAGTTTAAAGACTTAAGACTGGATAAAAAAGGAACCATATGTTGAAGCTTGGGAAGACTTGGATGACCTAGACGGCTGTGAATTAATTCAGGAGACTATGTGAGAGAGCACGCCACTGGAGAAGGTGGTTCAGTCAGATAGTAAAGACTTCGTGACTCATTGCCCGCTCCAATCGTCTTCCCCGTACCCGGATCCTGCATAGAAAAAGATTGTTTAAAGAAGGTAATAGTGCATGAAAGAGAATGAATCAGCTGGCTAACAGAGATTAAATTGAAGGGAATGCCAGGTATATAATAAACAGAGGTCAAATTCAAAAAGGGAGTTGGGTTGGCTTGCCCAATTCCTCGAGCAGGGGCCTTAGTGCCATCAGCAAGAGTAACAGAAGGTAGATTATTACAATAAGAAAGTGAAGTAAAGAGATCCTTATTACCACAAAGGTGATTAGTAGCACCTGAGTCTATTATCCAAGGTCCAAGAGATGATTGAGAAAGACAAGCAACATGATTACCAGTGTCTTGAGGAAGAGGCTGAGAAGAAACCTTCTTGAGAAGTGCCTCATGGTCAGCATTCGAACGAGTTACTGACCCATCAGTCTGAGCAAAGTTGGCGGTTGGTGGCTTCAAGTGAGGGTACTTCCTATAGCAATGTTCTTCATAATGTCAGAGGTTCTGGCAATAATTGCAACGAGGCCTCTGTCCGCGGCCACCCTGTCCACGGCCACGTCCGCGACCGCGTCCACTATTCCAATTAGAATCATTGGAACGAGAAAAGAATGCAGTGGAATCGGTAGCAGGCACATGTGTGGAAGCTGTTGATTTATCCTTAAGATTCAGAAAGCGCTGGAAAGTGTGTGACAGGCTAGGAGTCTCAGCACTGGTTAGAATATTCTCACGAGCACTTTCTAACTCCTCGAAAAGACCAGAGAGGGTTACGACCATAAAGAAGCGCTCCACCTGCTTCTTGTACGCAGAGGCATCTGCAGCATGAGGTAACATAGCTAAGAATTCTTGCATCAAAGAACGAATCTTACCAATATAAGTTTCCATTCGAGACTCTGGAGATTTGGGCAATGCCATTATCTGAGACACAATTGAATAAAGCTGTTGAATGTCATTGGTGTAAAGGTTTTTAGCTTCCTCCCAGACGTCATAGCAGGTCTCAAAGGAGATGAAAATGTGTATAAGTGTTGGATCAATGGACTGCCAAAGGATACTTAGGAGTTGAGCATCAATCTTTTCCCATTTAGATGTCTGTTCCTTGGCAGACTTAGCTGTGAGATGTTGACCGTATCCCTGACCAGTAAACCAGATTTTAACTGAGGTAGACCAGGTCTTGTAAGTAGCAGATCCGGTCAGTTTTATCGTTGTAATCGATGGGGTAGTACTAGTAATATTTTTGGATGCACTACCTAAACCCTCCATCACAAAATAAATAAATAAGGATGACCAGAATAAGCAAGGATGACCAGAATACACAACTGCAAGCAAATCAAAAGACGAACGTGGAAAGCAACTCAACGTAGAATCACTGATGTATCTTGAACGCACGAGACCCACAACGAACGGAGAGCAGATCTCAAAAGAGGGGAAGAAGGCGAGTTTTTCTGTCCTGGAATGGCCGGAAAAGGTGCCCGGAACAGTGCTCACGCGCCGGTGAAAGGAGGCGCGTGAGAACCACGCGCAGGGAGGTCAGCCACGCGTGTAGGCGCGTGAGATTGCCGCTGGTGATGGGCCTTCCACAGAGACGGTCGCCGAAGGAAGGGGAGCCTGATCGAAGGTTTTCCGGTTGCTACCGTCGTAGGAAATGTTTTCCGGTGACCGTGAACAGTAGCAAACGGCGGTTCCGGCGGCAAACGAAGGCTGATCTCTTCCTATTCAGGGTTGAGGAGGCTGGTTTCTGACTATTTAAGGCTGAGGATAAATATTTTATGACTAATTAAGGGTTAGGGCTAAAAAAGGGTTGCCGGTATGATGCACGGCGAGATAAGGTTTTATGCGGAAGCGAGGTTTCCCAGAATATTAGCTCTGGTACCAACTTGAAAGTAAGAAGGTATTTGTATTCAATTGTGTGTTAACCTAATACAAAGAGTTACAATATATAGAGACCCTAATAGGCTTAAGTGAGAAGCCCAGAAATATTAACAGATAGTAATCTATTCAAATCTATTCAAATCTAATCAAATCTAATCATATCTAATATTTCCTATTCTAATATTTCTAACAGAAAGAAAGTGCAAGAAAATATAAGAAACTGAAAAAACAGAGAGAAGAAAAAGCCCAAGATATTCTCTAAAATGTGTATTTGACATTCTAAACGAACTCAGTGCTGAGTACTTACATTTATACAGTTAGATACAGTTGGAGACAACTGTCTAACTACCTGTAAGTTACTTACAGAGACCTAACAGAAACAGAATCTGACAATTAATCTACTACTTCAGTTAATAAAGACAAGGGTACATCATGTTACACATGTAACATATCTCTAACAAAAGCCCTTGGGCCTGAAGCAGGAACAAAACACGTGTTCCTAATGTGTTAAAATTTTATTTTATGTGGAATGGGACCAACAAAGATCAAACTCCTGATCACTAAGTCAAAAAATCTTTGACTTAATGTCAAAGATCAACTCCACCAAAAACTAAGCTCTCAAGAGCAGGCCATGGAGTGGCTTCTAATAAGACTCTAATAGCGAGTCAGGTAACATCTAACACTGCAATGCAAAGTAATATCATGCTGGAAGTGAAAACTTCAAAACATGCTCACGCAATTTAATTGAGAGGAATATCCAAACCTATGAACATTGACGGAGAAAAAATAGTAGACTAAGTTATTGGTTTTATATTTTAATTTTATATTATATATTTCTAACAGTCTCAAATAGAGGAATAAAGGGGGAAACAGCCCAATATTTTATAATATTTAAATATATATGCATTATTCATTAAGACGAAGAGAAAAAAGTACAAGGAATTTGGTGGATAGAAAACCTTTATAGTGAGAAAAAAAGGGAAACTAGAAGAAAAAATAAAAACGTCATTGAAGGATGCCCAATCCCTCTGGATATATGTTAAGAAAACCCCTACAAGGTCGTGTGCTTTACACCAAATAGAAGTTAATCGTCTTACCATCTATAAAGGGTCAATTCAACCCAAAAACTTAAGCTATTAGTTGAAGACTACATTAATGATTTTATATTTCTCTAACACACCCCCTCATATAAGAGCCCATTGGGCTTGAAGGGTAGATAATACACAGACCCACTTACTCGTGCTAAAGAATTCCATAATATTTAATTATTTATTAAAAGAATGGGGATGGTGAGGATCGAAATCATAACCACTTAGTCACAGAGGCTCTGATACCATGTAAAGAACCAATTCAACCCAAAAGATTAAGTTATTAGGTGACGGCTACTATTAGAGAAATATAAAACAATTAATGTGGCCTTCACCTAACAGCTTAAACTTTTGGGTTGAATTGGTGTTTTACATAATGTCAAAACATCTATGACCAAGTGGTCAGGAGTTCGATCCTTACCGCCACCATTCTATTAACAAATAATTAATATTGTGGTGCAATAATTATGTGGCCTTCAAGATAATCATTCCCAAATCTAATATCTTTCAAATCTTGGCATTGCATTGTAAACTAAAATCTAATCTAAAATGTAAGTAATTCCATATAACCAAAATTCATAAGCAACAACTAACCTGTACTTGGTATAATTAGCCTCAAGAAATCCCACCAAAACAGGTATTCCACGGCAAGCTATAAACATTTGTAAAGTCAACGAACTGCATCAAGTGTTAACAATCAATTCCATGTTATTTTCAAAAATATAAAAGAAGTTGAGTAATAACAACAAATAAAATACACCCCGACCTTGACTGACAAAGCTGTTGTAAAAAGTAAGCTGCTTCCATACGGATCTCTCGGGGACGATCAGGCACTGCAAAGCTCATGACTGCAGGAATCTGCCACAAAATTTTGCATTAAATATAGCTGAACCAAGATATTTGAGGACACCCAGTGATATCATCAAGCATAATGAAAGCACAAGTTTGAGGTAGTAATGTTTCAGTGTTTTCGTCGACTAATATTTATGAGAATGATTTTAGTCTTCCAAAAACCTAGCTATATCCTAATTGTTTAGGGTAATTATAGACTTGAAAGATGTTACTGTAGATAATTTTTTCTTCAATCCCAGGAATGTTTTACTGATATTCATATTACTGAGTAACGGGCAGATTTTTTCATAGGAAGAGAAGTTTCATTAAGGAAGAAAAGAAGAGATCAAGGCCAGAGGATAAGACAACCTCTCAAGAAAATTACAAAAGAAACACCTAGAAACTAGGAGATGCAACCATATAACAAGGCATACCAATCTCTAACAAGGCATACCAATCTCTCTGCATGTCTAACAAAGAAACTAAGCTAAAAAGCCAATGAGCAGAACACCAAAGACAAACTTAAAAAGTAATACTGTCCCAAATGTTGTCCATGAGCAGTATTTGGGCTTATGAGTTTATGACACTTAAGACTTATTTAAATGTCCAAGCTTTTGTTATTTTTTTTGTAATATTGCAGAGTCTAAATCCATATGAGAATGGGATTCTATTCTGAATCCTTTAGGATAAATTAAGGGAAGTTAACTTAAACAGATTCAATGCTGCGCCACAATTGTTTGATTTCTTATCCACTAAACTAGGACCGTAGAAGATTTGTAAAATTCTTCATCAAGATTTTAACACACAATTTTATCTTAAAAAAAAAAGGAATACTCATTTTAACCCATTAAATTATGGAAAGAATAAAAGAGAGAAAAGGGAGAGGAAAGGAGCATAAGATATACATAAGACTTACCAATCCAACAAGACATGCGTTTTCTTGAAAATCAGTGTTGTCTTTAATTATTTGATTTATAAGCTGAAGCACAGAACATATGACCTGAAACATCCATTGAATTCAAAATGTCTTCTTCCCAGTCACTAAATTGTCAGCTATGCCTCTCAATAATAATAAGTAAAATGAAGTATAAAGATAGACAACATACACGTGTTTTAGGAACTTCTAGCAAGTCGGTTAGTGGAAGTAAACCATGCTGGGTAACAAAAACAATCTTCTGCTCTGGACGTTGGTGAAATATACCAATAAGTTTCCGACATGCAGAGACAATCACATCTTCTGATTCCTCTGGTCTTAGTGAACTAACTAATTTGCTGAACTCAACAGCCTACAGCATTATGGTAAATAAATCATATATGCAAGTCTAACATACAAAGCACTCGTAAGCTACAACATACAAGGTATACATAGGACATGAGTCAATTTTGAAGAACAAGTGTTTTCTATCTTACATTCAATAAAGCTATGCAAGGGTAAGGCTACGTACAAGGATTTCCTCCACCCCACACTCGCTAGTCGGGTTTAACGGGGAGTGGTTTATTTTTTTTATTCTATAAAGTTATGCCCACATCAAACAACAACATGCAAGAACATTCCCAAACCTAAAATTTAAATAAAGATAAAGAATATACGAGATGCCAGAAACTGAATAGAACAGATCGCATTATGCGAGAGAGGTGTATGTTATACAGAGGACAGAGGGAAAAGCCTTGGTACCTGCAGAGGAAAAAGGTTTTCTCCAGGAAGTTTTTCATCGAAGACCTGATAAAAAAACATTAGACAAAGAAGAGTCAAAAGAATAAAAACATGGGATTTTAAAGAAAGAGCTTAATTATCCAGACTGATTAACATACCAAACCATCTATATCAATTACGTCATCTTTTAGAACACCTATCATCACTCGGTGTAAAAGGTTCCCACCATTGTTTGCCTGTCCATTTTCACTCTCCTTCTCCCATTGCTTTCGAGCAATTGTAGCCCTCAACTCTTTAGCCAGGTCATTTTTCCCACCATCAATCATAGATGCATTACCTTTAGCCAGATGTGAAGTAGATGTAGATGTGGATGCCTCAAGTACAACCTTCCCAGGTTGTTTATCTGTTGGATGAAATAAATCATCTAAGTACGCATCTCCAGGGGGGTCACTAAATCTACTCAGCTCATTTCCTTCCACAGGGGGTGGCATCTTCATTGCCTTCAGATAGCAATCAGACAAATCTATGAAATTTCATCATCTTTCCATAAAGGAAAACATATTCTAGATGAATTATAGAATCAATAATTATAACAGTGCAGCTTCAAGCCACCTCACATATTTTGGATAAAGAACTATTAGAAGCAGTGTTCAAAAGAACTTCATGATTTTCTAACATAAATGGCACCCCATTGATGAATAATTCAAAAATGAAAATTTCAAAGGGAGAAAAACAGAAATGGAAGTCTGTTCAACCTTATTATGCATAATATTAGCATATATACATGCTTAGCTGTACTAGTTTAAGTAACTCCGTACGACATTTACTGTGTTACTGTGTGTTTCAGCACAGGGGATTGTTATACCCTTTTAGTTATTGTTTTAGTTACTTTTCTGATAAATTGTTACATCTCACTCGCTGAGTGACCATCACTTGGGTCTATATATGGACAACAGCAGTACGTCATTCAGAATATTCAATAATACAGAAACACTTTCAGACTTCTCTCTCTCTTTTCCTTCGATTTCTTGACATAAGGATAAGAAATTTGTTTCTCTACTATGGTGAATAATATCAAAAGGGGAAAAGGGGAAGAAAGTATATGACAGAAAGACCATAGTAAACTTCGGAGAAATATTTAAACAAGACCATACTCTAAATGAATTTATTGGAAATTTGGTTTTCGATAGAGCGCAAATGTGTTGTTTGATCAATTGCGTTTATCAAAAACATATATATTTATACATAAAAAGGAAAGCATACCCCCCCCCCCCCCCCACCACCACAAAACACACACCCACAAACACACACAAAAAAAAAAAAAACCACCCAAAAAAAGAAGTAACCAAATCAATCCTTAAAGACTCTTTTAAACAGCCAGCAAAATATGAAAGGCCATACCTTTAGGGAACCATTGTCTTGACCTCTTGATCCAAAAGCAAATGATTTAGTGCCATTATTGATGTCTTTTCCTCCAACCTTATTGGCCATTCCACTTGATTGTGGAGATCCGACATCTCCATTCATCATGACTTCATGAAATTCTTTAGAACTTGAAACCTCATGATTGCTAGTTGGCTCAGAACTAACCACTTCTCTATTAGAAGAGAGTCTGCTAGAACCAGTTTGTATAAATGACTTCTCTCGAATGGCTAACGTAAGAACTTGATCTGATGGAACATCATCTGCCTTCTCTGTTCTTTCGTTAAGAAAATTAGAATCTGAAGCATTGTCTTCATGAGTTTTGCTGCTATCAGCAGCCACACTTGAAAACTCTTTTGCAGAGTCCTACAACATAATAAAAATATAATCTAACTGCTCCCATGATGTAGATCCATTGTTTATGGTTACGAATTTAAATTCTTAAATTATTAGCTCCAGCAGAAAAGACAGAATAGTATATTGTCACAGCTAACCATCAACACTAACCTCTTTCTCAACAGAAGAGTTTTCACCAGCACTCTTATGATCACCACCAGGAACTTCTGCATCTCCAGAATCATCATCTTCTATATTTCTGCAAGAGGAAGCACTCTTCTTCAATTAAAAAAGTATAAAAATTACATAGCTGAAAGAAAATGACACTTTAGCATAATTTAAGCAAAAAATAAAAATAAAAAATCCTTAGCATAATTCCAACAAAAAATCCAAAAGAAATAGATCCAAGAAATAATGAACATTCCATTTCTTATGTAATTTAAAAAATAAAATATTAGAAGAGAAAAAGAAAGAAGTACAAGAACGAGAGGATAAGACCATTTTGTGACTTTAAATGTAAATTGAACCAAAATGGTAGGACAGGGTAGCATCACTTGCTATCAGTACAACTAAAGTAGCAATCGAGATTTTAAGGATCACAAATTTGAACAATTACTTAGATGGCTAGATTCAACCAGAACAAATAACATAATATAACGGAAATAATATCTCATGCTATCTACCTTAATGTTCCACTATGACGGAGAGAAGACTGCAGGGCACGTCTACAATTTTGAATCCAGGGGTGAGATAGCAGCGTTTTAGCATCAGGCCTTTGTCTAGCATCCTGACATGTGCAACAAAATAGTATATAAAACAAGTTTTTTTCACTAGCTTCATCTGAAATGATTAAGAGTCTGGATAATACAAGTATCCATCTTGCCTATCCTACAAAGCATGAGCTAGAAAACTACATAGACAATACTGACAACATCATTATAATACTCCTATGCTTGTCCTTGCCCATGATTTTACTTTTTCATGGAAAAGAATTGTTCACACTCTTGATGAAATAATATATTTGAATGAGAAGCAAATATACATAAGTTTTTCAGTATTAACAAAAAAGAAAAGAATATAATTTTCAAGAGAAGTAAAAAAAAAAGTGTCTATAGATAATCAAACTTTCTTCCAAACTAACCCTAACCCAAGCACCGGTGACATACATCTAACTTAATGATCAAGAGAAGATAGAATTAATTTTTCATCTGCATTAATTCGGTCACAATCATTCCAAGCATCATCCCTCATTTTGAGGTTAAACAAATCAACAATGGTAGGTTAGAACTGTTGTTAGATTTTGTTAGAATTTTGTAGGTATTTAGGGTAGGATATCATGTATATACTGTAGAATCAGTTAGGACACAAATTAGGATTATGTATATCAGTGATTGAATCATTGTAATTAATACCCACACTAATATATGAGATTGTGAGGACCGGTATAGAAACACAATTCATCCTATCAGGTTATTCTCTAAACTTCAAGTACCGTAGACAAAATGAAAATTAAATTGAATCAAAATTTAAAATAACGACCTAAACACTACTATCCAAATTTCAAATCATTGCAAAAAAAAATCTACCTTGCTGGTATAATTTTTTAAATATTTAAATTCTATAGACATACAAGTGTGTGATCAGATCACAGCAAGTAATTAAGAAAGTAAAAGTTTGTACACACCAAGATAGACACAGAAAAGGTTAACAGCAGTTCTGTGAATTTTCCTTTGTGGCAGCCTAATATTATTAGAATTAAAAATAGCAGTAACATTAATAGTGTAAAGTTCTCGAAAATTGGCCTGCATGGCATGAACAAGAAAAAAGGAACAAATTTACTATTCTGCTCCTTTCCCTTCTTTTTCTAATTAGTCAAAAGATCAAGCAGTTTGCTAACAATCCAGTAGTGGGAAAAATCATTCAACAAAGAAAACGAAGCTAAACAACAGTGCACAGAATTTTTCCCATAGATACCTAACAATTCCTATTTCCAATTGGAAAGATCCATATTGCAAAGGCAGTTCTCTCCTTAACCATTTTGTAATCAATGAATAATCTAACACAAACTATATGCTACAAAATACTAAAGGATAACATATCATCTCTCAACATATTTACTTGTCTTATATCCAGACCAGTACAGTAAAAAAGAAAATCCTAAAACAGACAGTGATAATTCATTCACTCATGTCAGGAGGTGGGCAAGGGCAGGCACTGGGAGCAAGATAGATGGAAAGAATGTACCAAGAGAAATGATATGCAACCACAATAACATCCAAGTTAAGACACCATATGTATTAAGAAACATTTTCCAACCAAGAGTTAGGATCCAATTTACCTTCTTAAAGCATTGATGCAGAAAATCAGTAATGTCAGGTGACAGGCTATCAGGAATTGGAGGATGTTCATCCTGAGATAGAAGTCAGGGGAAGTAAATTACATTATAGTTGTGTAATTGAGCATATCAAGAACAAAAGATAATGTAAAATGCTCCAATTACCAACTCACTAGTTATGCAATCTAGTGTAGATGCCATTATCTAGCCAAATGCCATAAGAAAACCAAGTCCAAGGACCCTTCATATATTGAAGAAACAATAAATGATAGCACATAAGCAAACCTGGACAATACGGAAAAGAGCCGGCATAGGCTGCAAATCATAATAAGGAGGTACACATGTAAGAAGTTCAATAACCGTACAGCCAACACTCCAAATGTCAGAAGCAGCACAAACCCCAGACATTTCTATAACCTGAAAAATTAAACCAAAATTATCAATGAGTGCCCTTAATCAAGCTCAACACATCATATTAGAAGCCATTTCTTTAATTCACAATCCACTTTATTAGGTTCATTAAAGAGTCAGCAAGGTGCTCAGCTCAAATAAACTATTTTTTTATTAAAATAAAATACATTATTATAAGAATGAGAGAAGAGACAGTAAATCCAGGAGGGGATGAGAGATCCTCCTAAAAAATACACAAAGTAAACAGCAAGCCAAAGTGTCTCAAAAGTGCAATGTAGCAGTCCAATCTCTTTGCATATCAGTATGGTGTTAGAAGACAATTTAAACAAGGCAATGATCAAAAGCTCTAATCAAATGATTTAGCTGAAGAATTTCAAACAACTATTACCTCTGGGGCCATCCAGTATGGTGTTCCAACAACTGAATGAGTATTAACATCAGCCTCTGTTAATTTTGTTGCAACACCAAAATCAGCAAGTTTGACAAGACCCTGAAAGCAGAAAATGTAATTAGTGAGAATTAATGCAAATTTTCTAGATGTAGACAAAAATAAAAAACAAAACCAAAATCTAGAGCATGGAATTATATGACAGGATCAAGAGTGATGTGCAAGGAAAACCATGGTGACAATGTAAACAAATATAAAGCAGACCATCGGGAAAATTGTTAATAGAAGACAAAAATTTATGAGATAGAAGTACAAAAGGTTGGAGGATAACAAACCCTCACAAAGACAAAACAAAAGGAGGGGAAAAAAAGAGACAAAAAAGGAAACTCCTAAAAGAAAGTCGGCGTAGGAGAGCCGCCAGTATCTTTCCAACAACATTTTCTCTTCTTAATGAAATTTTTCATTAAAAATTACATATACAGGGATCTGAATTAAAATTATTAAAAACAGAGTTTGGTGTTTGTCCTTTTAAAGGACATAGAATTGTGTTATTTTAAGTGAGAGAAAGAGATACAAAATGGAAATCATGGGGGAGAAAGTGGGTAGTTTTTTTTAATTTAAATTTTAAATAAAACAAACACTAGTTTTAACTAAAATAACCATCCTTTAAAGGGACAAACATTTTTCCCTTAAAAACAAAATAGCTAGTAGTCATAATAATGCTCAAAAAAACTAGGCAAGACATTGACTCCCTCCTCTTGTCTTCTAATTTGTACTGCCTTATTTTGTAAGTAAAAAAGGTTAATCCAAAATTGACTCACTCCTTAAATATTGAATTGCTTGGTAAAGCAGTTCAGCTAACTGAACCAGCAGCAACCGAAGTAAAATGGTTAACCATCCCTAATTTAACTATAAAGGGGTAAACAGAATATCAACACAAACAAAATTCAGCAGAGCGAAGAAACATGAAAATAAAAACACTTAAAAAAGCAAAAATGAAAGCAGTGGATCATGAAACAGAAAAGCAATGATGATGAAAAATATAATTACGCACTAAAGGACCACACTAGTGCTCAACATGGTTAAACATGATTTGGCAATGTTATGTAAGCTATCTGCATTGCTTACAGGAGAGTTTCTTATCGTATAATCCCTCCTTTTATTCGGAGTCAATTTGCATAGACACAACCATAAAATTGCCAAAACACAAAGCCCTACAATATAATAAGAACCAAAGAAAAAAAAAGGCTTGCCTCTTTAGTTGTCAATATGTTTGCACCCTTAATATCTCGATGGATAACACCCTGTTCATGTAAATAAACCAAGCCTTCCAACACCTACCTCATCATATGATACATTTAGTATAAAATCCAAAACTAACAAAATCCTGGAAAACCCTCAATGAACAGTATTACACCTACAAACCTGGGCAATATAAACCGCAACCAATGATTCTGGAAAAGGTCCAAATTTATTTGGCTTGATGATATTTGCAAGTGAACCATTCTCCACATACCTATGAAATTACAAACATGTAGCAAAATTCATTGCTCCTCTGAATACCCTTAAATGATGCTATGATTAAATCTTATGTTGTGAAAGAGCTGAGCCCACTTACTCAAGAATTATGTGCAGGTGACTCCTTGTCTTTAAGGATCCGAGATACTTTACAATGTTTTTGTGGTTCAAATTCTGTAAAATAATAATAATCATTTAAAAGATGGCATCACATAATAAGTGTATGCATTCAAATTTCAACAGGTGCTCAGAATGCCAAGCTTTTAGAATCGTTCCCAAGATTAAGCCAATAAACTATTCATTACCACAGCATCAGAAAACATAGAAAGGTAGCATCGTAGTCAATCACAGGGTGCCACCTCATGTCGCAGCACCTCCTTGCTATGACCAGCACATAACATCGAGTTTTTCAGCTGCGGTTGCATGGCCTGCTATCGCAGCCATTGCAGCTGCTACATTCTATGCAGGTGCAAAAACCCAACTTTGCCCCCGCTTTCCTCGGCTTCCCAGTTCACACCCATTTTTTTGGGAGAACTTTGTTATTCCCCATGGAAGTTCTTGGCACTGTTTTTGTTGTTCAACAACATCTATGGGGCGTGTAGGAGAATTGAAATCATGTATATCATCAATTAATAGCTAATTTTCCCAACTCAGACAAAGAGAATATGTTCCTTTTGGTCCAATCCAAATCTATCAGTTTACAAGTATATTTTAATGCAAGATCAGCTGTAGCATGTCATTCAACACCATTGCCTAAAGGTTTCATGCACGATATATACATGGGAGAAATGGAGCAGATAATACCATAACAGCTATTAAGCAAAAGAAAAACTCAATTGATAATGTAGTGCAAATCCAACATTGAGGAAAAGAAGTACCTTTAACAAATCAATCTCTTGCTGAAAACATTGAGGCATCCATCAAATGACAGCACGGCCACAGGTAAAAACAGCACCCAATTTAGTGAATAGAGATAATAGACTATGAAAGCAAAGCAACAGTTTACAGACGTAAGAGATAGAAAAAAAAGGTATTGAGTTTGCTACTTGCTTTATTTGTTGCACCATATATGTTAGGAATTCAAGTGTGCTTGAAGAAGTCCAGCATAAAAATGAAATGGCCTAAGGGAGGACCTTATAGTGGAATGATCCACAAACCCAATGATTGGCGTACCCTATTTTTTGTTGACTAGTTTTAGTGATTTTGGCAGAATTATAGAAGCTGATTTTTTATGGCAATGTGCAATCTATGTTACTATATGGCATATTTGGTTGGAACTTAATGCACATATTTTTATATGTTTTATTGCCACGACAGCTAATTTGGGATAAGATTAGACAACTAGCTTCAATTTGGTGTCCAGCAAATGATCTTTTTAAATGGTTTCCTGGACAAATATACAGAGAGACTGCACAGCTTTGCTCCATCAATGCTTTCTCTTTTTCTCTGTTGTTTAATACTCTCCCATTTCGTTAACGAGTACCCATTATCCAACTTCCTATTCTTCTCTTCATCTTAATGAATTTCTTCTGTTATGAAAAAATAAAATACAATAGTAATGGTAAAAAGGTTGAGCTGCTTTGTGGTTTTTTTGACAATGGTCCAGAACTGAAGAAAGAAAGTGACTACAACAGTCTGTATCAAGATTAACTAGTCAACATTCCTTGTGACCTTGTGCTAGTATGATCATATAAGCAGAACTCCAAATACATCTTAATCAAAATTCCAAAAGAACTAATAGTCTTACAAGAAGGCTATATACAGCCTTCACATAGTAACCTGTTGAGATATATAAAATCATTAATGTAGCCTCACCCAACAGCTTAAGCTTTTGGGTTGGATTGGTTCTTTACATGGTATCAGAGCCTCGTGTCCCGGGTTCGATTCTCGCCGCCCCCCACTTTCTTTCAAGTGGAATTTCTTTGTTCGCACAGGTGGGTGGGCCTGTGCATTGTCCACCCTTCAAGCCCAATGGGCTCTCGTGTGAGGGGGCGTGTTGAGATATATAAAAACCATTAATGTAGCCTCACCCAACAGCTTAAGCTTTTGGGTTGGATTGGTTCTTTACATAACCCACAAGCAATAAAATCCTGTTAATACTAAGTAAAGAAGGAATAATCTTTTCTTCTTTTTCACGGGGGTGGGTTGTTAGAATAAAATCTCTAACTTACAAAATTAATAATCCCCCCAAGCCAAACTGAAACCTTACTCTTGGTCTCTTATTAAATAAAGCAACCCTAACCGTTTTTTTTTTTAAAAAAATCCTAACTAAAAAAATGTCTTCATTGTCCTTCAGCAGCTCACTAGTCATCGGCTTTCCACAATAATGACAACACATTAAAAGACATTGTTGAAATTACAGGGATTTACGTATAAAGGGAGGAAACTCCGCCCATGTGTGCTTGCATGCATGGTCTGTCCCAAGCCAGGATAAAGGAGGAGGGTTGGCGTCAGGTGTAGCGAACCGGCCATAAAAAACAGCTCTATTTTTATGTGATGAACCCATATGATTTTTCGTTGGGGCGTACCCTTCATAGCGACGCGTTGCATCGGGCCCCGGGTGTAGCGAAAAATGGGCTAGGGTCCTTGCCACAAGGCAAGGTGCTACATCGGGCCCGGGGTGTAGTGAAAAATGTGCTAGGGCCCCTTCCCCAAGGCAAGGCGCTAGGTCTTCACCCGGATTTGGTGAAAAGTATGTCAGGGTCCCAACACGCAGATGGGCGAGCGTGGCGGGCAAGCACAGCCCAGGGGTTAAGGATGCGATTGGGAAGCTGGAACATAGGAACCTTAACGGGTAAATTGAGGGAGTTAGCAAATGTTTTTGCTAAAAGGAAAGTGAATATTGTTTGTTTGCACGAAACTAAGTGGGTTGGAGAAAAGGCGAAGGAAGTGGATGGTACTGGTTTCAAGTTATGGTACACAGGTATTAACAAGAGTCGAAATGGTGTTGGAATTGTGATCGATAAAAGTTTCAGAGATAAAGTTGTGGACGTCATAAGGAAAGGCGACAGGATTATTCTGGTTAAGCTTGTAGTGGGTGATTTAATCCTGAATATCCTCAGTGTGTATGCACCCCAAGTTGGATTGCAACCAATTGATAAAAGCCAATTTTGGGAAGACTTGGAGGAAGTTTTGAGGGGAATACCTCGAGAGAAGATTTTCTTAGGAGGAGATCTAAATGGGCAAGTTGGTAAAAGCAATGGAGGTTTTGATAAAATTCATGGAGGTTTTGGCTATGGGACGAGAAACGAGAATGGAGAAGATATCTTGAATGTTGCACTAGCCTACGATTTGATGCTAGTGAACACCTTTTTTTCGAAAAAGGGAGTCACATCTAATCACATATCATAGTGGCCAAAATCGTAGTCAGATTGATTTCTTTCTGGCTAGAAGAGAAGATAGAACTTCTTGTGTCGACTGTAAGGTCTACCCTGGAGAGTGTATCGCTACGCAACATAAGCTGGTAGTCCTGGAGGTTTGGTTCAACAAAGTACTTACAATGAGGAAGAGGGCTCAGAACCTGAGGATAAGGTGGTGGAAGCTTAAGGAGGGAAAAGAGGGAGAGTTCAATGAAAGAATGTTGCACGAAGGACCTTTGGAGTTTGATTGAGGGGCAAATGAAATATGGAATGCGATGGCTAAGTGTATTCAAAATATGGGAAGGAGGGTGTTGGGTGAAAGCAAAGGAAATGGATTTCATTTCAAAGAAACATGGTGGTGGAATGAAGAGGTGCAAGAGGCAATTAAACATAAGAAGGAGCGCTTTAGATATTTGCATAGAAGTCCCAGTGAAGAGAACTTGCAAAAGTTTAGATTGGCGAGAAAAAATGCAAAGAAAGCAGTGCGAGAAGCTAGAGGCAAGGTCTTTGCTGATTTGTATAAAAATCTTGGGAGCAAGGATGGTGAAAAAGGTCTATATAAACTTGCAAAAATAAGGGATAAGAAAAGTAAAGACCTCACTCGAGTTAGATGCATCAAGGATGAAAATCAAAAAAAATTGGTGAGAGATGATGATGTAAATAAAAGATGGATGAACTACTTTAACAAGCTGTTTAATGGGGATGGAGATATAAGCGAGGTGGACTTGGAGGACGCTTATGATGATTTGAATAGAAGATTTGTGCGCAGAATTAATACACATGAAGTTAAGGAGGCTTTAAAGAGGATGAAGACTAATAAAGCCTTGGGACCTGATGGTGTCCCTATTGAAGTGTGGAGAGGCCAGGGGGATGTGGCAATAAAATGGTTGACCAATCTTTTCAATAAGATTCTCCAGACAAATAAGATGCCTGATACATGGAGGAAAAGTATGATTGTGCCTATCTACAAAAACAAGGGAGATATACAGAATTGTTCAAACTATAGAGGCATTAAGCTATTGAGCCATACTATGAAGTTGTGGGAGAGGGTTATTGAGCATCGCTTGAGAAGAGATACCAAGGTTTCTGTAAATCAATTTAGATTTATGCCAGGAAGATGTACCATGGAAGCCATTTTCTTGATGCGACAACTAATGGAAAGATATCGAGAAAAGAAGAACTTACATATGGTGTTCATAGACCTTGAGAAAGCATACGATATGGTTCCAAGGAAAGTTTTATGGTGGGTTTTGGAGAAGAAAAATGTACCATCAAAGTATGTAAAGGCAATCAAGGATATGTATGATGGGGCTACTACATGTGTGAAAGCTTGTAACGGAACATCAAGTTATTTCCCTATCTCGGTAGGTGTACACCAAGGGTCGGCTCTAAGTCCTTATCTCTTTGCCTTAGTTATGGATGATCTAACAAAAGATATTCAAGAGGAAGTGCCATGGTGTATGCTTGTTGCAGACGATATTGTGCTTATTGATGAGAGCAAGGATGGTGTTAATAGAAAACTTGAATTGTGGAGAAGCACATTGGAATCTAAAGGATTCACTTTAAGTCGAAGCAAGACTGAGTATCTGAAGTGTGAGTTTTCTCTGGTAAGAGATGTAGACCAAGATCCCGTGCATCTAAGTGGTCAAGAGGTACCCAAGAAAGACGCTTTTAAATACATGGGCTCCATTTTGCAAAAAGGTGGAGAGATTGATGAGGATGAAACCATAGAATCAGAGCAGGGTGGATGAAATGGCGCAGTGCATCTGGGTTTTTGAATGACCGCAAAATCCCCCTTAAGTTAAAAGGAAAATTCTATAAAACAGCAGTAAGACCTGCAATGCTATATGGAGCTGAATGCTGGCCAGCACATAGGCAACATGAGCATAAAATGGGAGTAGCAGAGATGAGGATGTTAAGGTGGATGTGTGGTTATACGAGGATGGATAAGATAAGAAATGAAGATATTCGAAGAAAGGTAGGAGTACTACCGGTGGCTGAGAAGATGAGAGAACATAGATTGAGGTGGTTTGGGCACGTAATGAGAAGGCCCATGGATGCTCCCGTAAGAACAGAAGTGTGTTACCAATAGCTCAACACAAAAAGAGGTAGAGGTAGACCGAAACTTACTTGGACGAAGGTAGTAAAACAAGATTCAATAAAGTGGGATATAGATTGGCGGACGGTATGCCTTAGAAAGGAATGGAGAAAAGCTATAAGCATGGTGGAGGGTTAGACCCGTTGTTATTCCTATGTTCCAGATGGTCTCTTTTAAGTCCTTTTCCCCTTTATTTTCCCCTCTTCTTCTTTTCCCTTTCTTTTTTACTTTTATATTTATATATATATATATATATATATATATATTATTATTACTATTGTATTTATTTATTTATTTTCAACCTTTCTATATCTTTCATTTGGGTTCATCTACCACCGACCCCAGTTAATTTGGGATAAAGGTGTTGTTGATGTTGATGTACGTATAGAGGGAGGAAAATGAATACTCAAACTAATAAAACAATAATTAATATTGTTGTAAATGATGTATTACGATGCAATTCAAACAACAAAGCATTAATCCCTATTTATACTAATATTAGACTCCAAATCCTAATTAAATAAGGAAATAAATCATGAAATTGAAGAACTTTAGAAAACCATTCCTAAGAGGTCATCTAAGATACTCTAAACTATTCTAAGATACAATCAAGATATTATGAGATATTTTTCATATATTTTAACAAAAGTTAACTCCAAGAACTAATCAAAGTTTGGCTTTGGCAGGCCCTAAAACTTTAGTCTTCAAATTGTATACAATTTGCAAAAATAAACAGTGAAACACCCTAGGAATCCCATTTTGTCCCTAATGCCAGAAAATTTTCTTCAAAATAAGAACTAAGAAAAAAAGAAAGCAAAAACCACACTCTCTCTGTCTGCCACCCCAACTCCACAACCCCCAGAGTATCACTCTCATTTTCAATTAGGATAATCGACTCCACCCCTAAAGATGCCAGTGGGAAATAAGTCTCTACACTTTCCTATCTATAATTAATAGCTAAAATAAAAGTTTAAATTGAAAATGAAAACGATGATATTAAAACAAACTTCATACCATAATGATGTTGAGATCCTCCTGAGCAATATTCTCCAAAGAAACTTGTTTAATTGCAACAAAATCTCCATTCTCCAGGTCCAAACCTTTGTAAACTCGACCATAAGCTCCTTTCCCAATCTCATCTCCCAGCATCTGCTCGAAATCTCAAATGCAAACAAAGCAAAAAGCAATCAGCCATTCAAAAACCAAACTATTGAACGAGCCAATTCCACATGCAATTTCAAAGTATAAACAATATATTCAAATGAAAACTCACGAATTACAACATGCAATCATTTTGAATGCATTCCCTACCACTCGTGTGCAAACACTAAAAAGATTAAGCAAGGATTAAAAATTAATAATTAAAAACATTCAACAGCCTATCCCTTGACGAAGAAAAGAAAAAAAAAACATTTACCAACTGGAACCATCCAATTCAGTCAGCAACAGAATCTCCACCACTTCTGGTTCATGTTACAACTACCTTCAACTTCAGCATATTAGCATTGTTTTGACTTCATCATTACACATTATTAACATTTTACTCATTGTTTCAACAGAAACTCCACATTACACATCCACCCCAGCCCCAATGCCGCTACCATCAGCTTGTGATTACTAATGTTACTACTAATCACAAAATCAACATAATTTCAGGTTTCAATTACTACTACAGTAGCCTTTGCATTTACTACAGCCATTTAATTTCATTGATACACGACAATAACACAAACCTAAATCTTCCACTAAATGACTTTCAGTGCTTTTATTTGAGAGTCGAAAGAGCGATAATATAGAAATCTAGACTTGAGAAAACAACAATGATAATATTAACACCAGCATTCTTCTTTTTTTAACAATTACCAAAACCTTGAGATCGATGGAAAATGAGAATGGAAGGAGAAAATGGCATACATATTTATTGTCGAGGGTCTTCGATTTAGTGAAAGCAGACGAAGTCGACTGGCGCGACATCTCTGCGAAGGTGCGATCGGAGAAACCAAACCCTAGAAAGAGAAAAGCTCCATTGGGGAATTGAGGGACGCCGGAGAGAGAGGAAAGGCTCGGATTGGATTAATTAATTAATTAATTAATTAATGAGAATATTTATATGTAAAAATAAATAAATATAAAAAAGAAAGGGCAAAAAAAAAAGTGTGTTAATGAAAGAGGTTGTTGCTTTGCTGGGAACAATGGTGAAAATGGTATATGTCGTATTCTCTATCTCTCTCTTTCTCTCAGTATCAGGGTTGGGCTGGTGCTAGCTGTCAATGGGATGTCAGGGATCTCATCCATTTTTCAAATGACTTTTTTATTTATTTTCAAAGTTTAAAAAAATCGACAGGAATTAAGAACACCAATTTTTTTTTCTTTTTCTACAATTGTTTTCATATTTAATTTACGGAAAATATGTTTATCATTTTAAATTACATAATTTTGTGTCACTTTTTAATAAAACTATGTTATTTTGGTGTGTTTTTGCATTCTCTCGTTCATTTTCTTTTTTACTTAATTTTATAAAAAAGAAAAAATGTAAAAAAATATCAAAACGATATAATTTCATTAAAAATGGCATAAAATTATGTCATTTAAAATGATAAACACTTAACCCTAAACATAATTTACATGATGGAAGTTAAAGTTATCAACAGATTAAGAAAAGAAATTAAAGGATGTATTGGATTGAGATTTTTTTTTTTTTTTTGATAACATATTGGATTGAGATTTTAATGGATTATTTTTGGACAAAAGAATCTATTAGTATTCAATTAGGATTGTAAAAAAGTCACGTGGTATTCGACTAAAATTTTAAAAGATTATTTTAAAGTACATACAAATTCGATGGTATTCAATCAGAATTTAAAATAAAAGAAAAATAATCTTGTGATGTTCAAAAATCTGATGATTTTAAGTGAATTTTGTTAAACATTTTAGTGAGAAGTTAAATAACATGTCTCTCTCACAATCTTACCTAACCCTTTCATTTCTTGATATTTTTTTATTACACTGTCTCATAATCTATATAGCCTTTTCTCAAGGACAATGTACGTTCTTTATTTACTTTCATATATTTTTTCTGATTTTGACATTCTTTCTTATGCTATTCTTCTTCATGATTAACTGATGATTTATAGTTGTGCTTGTCGTCTCTAATGATGTGTTACATTTGATTTATTTTGATATAATTGCAACAATGGTAATAAATTGACGATAAACATGTTTAATAATATATTGCCGATAAAAATTTCTCAAAACTTTTTAGGGTTCGTTTTTTCTGCAATCAATGTAGATAAGTTATCTACATTGAGCCCAAAACGACGTTATTTTGAGACGAAAATTAAGATATTTTTGTAATTATAATTTATTTCAGGATTATAATAGTCTTTCTCATTATAAATTTTTAATCTTTCGCCCTAAAACGATGTCGTTTTGGGAGTAAATTTAGATAACTTATCTACATTCACTATAGAAATATTAAAGTCAACTTTTTATGCACCATATTAGGCACACAATGAAAGACAAAATTTCAATATTCAATTGTTAAAAAGGGGGGGAATCGTTGTTGTTATTGCATAACTTGCTTTTGTCTCTAAGTTAAAAGAGCATCTAATCAACAATGTTAAGCATTCTCGTACCATAATGAATGTAAGTTATTGTTTGGCAAGACAATGAGCAGAAGAATAATTTACATTGCACAATACATATGTCAGCTTTTCACTTTAAGATCTATTAAATTGGGATAAATACATTTGCTTATACTATAAATAATTTCAAATAATAATTTTAATAAACATTTTTAAAACATATTGATAAAAATGAAATAAAATTTTTTAAATGTGAATAACATGCTCCATCACACTTCACAAATTTTTAGTAAATTTTATGCATATAAAATTTTGATTTGTTTATCCTTATTAATAATCACCTTTGAATGTTTGTTAAAAATTCCTATGGTTATTTAAAATATTATAAATTCTATGAAAATCCTTTAAATCAATCTATAAAATCTTGATCGTAATTTTTTTTTTTCAAAAAGTCTTTAAAGTCGCTACAATTCTATATAGTCTTTTAAAACCTATAAAATTTTCTATCTCAAAATAGTTCTTTAAAATCTTAATCCAATACATCTCCTAATAGCACAACTACTCCAAGCCTTGTCTGATGCTAAGCGTGAGCTTTCTGGTCTTCTATAAGCTCATGGAGAAAAGAGGTTTGCTGGAAATGTTAGTAACTACTTAATTATATCCTTATATTGGCAATGCAAAACAAGATTACTGAAAATATAGGTTTGTGATGCATTTAAATTTTTAAATGCCAAATTAACTTCCTCTGCATAATTTTTATAACTTCACAGCCACAAAAAAACTTCTGCAACTATCAAGGAAGAGTTTGAAGCCATAGCATCAATCCTTGAACAGTAATGGCAACAAGAGAAAGAAAGAAGGTAGTTCTCAGATGTACAGTCATAGATCCAAAACATACGTGGAGAAATAGCTGGGAACGTGAACCTTATTGATGTTCCCCGTGCAGTTATAGAGTCATTTTTTAAAGGATTTTTTTGTAATTTTAATATGTTTTTCCATCAATATTTTATCTTCAACCAAACACAGATTCAGAAATTTTGCTCAATTTTTCTGGTAAAATTTTGCCCAACCAAACAATTTTTTTTAAACTTTCCTATCTAACTCATTTTCCCTACACATCCCTGATAATTACATTTCCCTAGTAAAAAAAAATTTCACTTGAACCAAACACCCCCTAAGATTTTAGACAATAATTAATAAGTTGATCAATATTTTTAATTTAAAGATATATTTATATTTAACTAAATTATCATTTTTACTCTATAAAAATTTATCTCATTTTGTAACCTTATTTTAATTTATAAAAATAAAGACAGAGAATGATTTCCATTACCGAAAGAAAAAGAAGTGAACGACTGTTGTCTATGTGATTTCTGTATTTAAAAAAAGATTTTATAAGAGTTATGCTATACAGATTCGTTTTGTATGCTAAATTTTTTTTTTTTTTTTGCTGCAAGCCCCACAAAATATTATGTGTGTAGGAAATTTTTTGTGGTCATGTTAAATGATAAACCCTTTAAAAAAGTCTGAATAATTAACTTTCTCTTTTAAAACAATAGAAACTCCAATATCATGTGGAATTATATAAGAAAAACGCTACTGCGTTCGATTTTCAGTCCCAACATGCCAAACTTACTAAAATAAACAATTTGAATATCTTATTCACAAAAAATATGATCAAACTATATTTCTTTGAAATTTATTATATTATACATTACAAAAAAATATATTAATATACCTATGAGGTTGTAATTAATTAACACCAACCAAAATCTTTAGGGGGCGTTTGGTACAAAGATTTTGGCCGGATTCCCGGGAAACTGAATTTTTCTAAATTTTAAATTTCCGAATATTATTGTAAACTGAATATAAAAATCATATTTTTGAAAATCGAGATTTCCGGACAAAAAAAAAAATTCTCCTCTACCAAACACCCCCTTAAAATTATCCACATCCCATTTTCAGGGGCTTCCACGTATGTATATATATATATATATATATATATATATATATGTAGGGTTTTGTGTTTGTCATTTTAAATGACATAAGTTATGTCATTTTAGGAGAGAGATAGAAACAGAAAAACAAAAATCATGCGAGAGAGGCAGTGGGTGGTTTTTTTTAATTTAAAATTCAAATTTTCTGTGTTTATATCTCTCTTAAAATGACATAATTTTCTGTCATTTAAAATGACAAACACTTTTCCCATATATATATATACGAAAAATCCAAAATTCAGTCACTGGACGGTCGAGTGAGTGAATTTTGACTATATTCTCCCGCGAGAATATAGTGCAAAAACATTACAATGGTGTTCTGCCTATATCTCTTTGATTAAAAGCATGTTGCCTCCAAATGATCAAGATGGTGCTGATTATGTGCGTTGGAAGCTGAAGGACTCAGATCATGTTTCAGTCAAAAGCTTGTATCAAACTCTCGCAGGTAATAATTCTGAAACTGTTTCTAATTCTTCTTCAATTTGAAAAAAAGTTTGGAAATGGGAAGGACCTCAGGTGGTTAGATTGTTTTTATGGAAAGTTATTCATGATAGATTGCCAACAAAAAATAGATTAAGTTCTTTTGATATTGGTCAATCTGATTGTCCAATCTGTATGGAAGATGCTGAATCTACTTTACATTTATTAAGAGATTGTAGGAATATGAGGACCCTTTGGTTAAAACTCATTCCTATCAGCCTTGGTAACTCCTTTTTCACGGACGAGTTACATATTTGGATGGATAGTAATCTGACTTGTAGGGAAGGCTCTAGAGGGAATATACCTTGGTGCGTTATTTTTGGTATTACTTGCTGGTGGGCTTGGAAATGGAGGAATGATGTTGTCTTTGGTAATAATTCTGCCCAGCCTAGCCATTTTAAAGAAAGTTTGATTATTTGTAAAGCCAAAGAAGCCCATAGTGCTTTTCAGTTTGCTAACAGGCATAATGCAATAAAGGCTACAACAGATATCCCTGTCTGTTGGAAACCTCTTAATGAGAGTTGGATTAAATTGAATACTGATGGTGCTTGTAGAAGTTTCTCTGGTTTAGCTGCTTGTGGTGGTATTGCTAGAAATCATATGGGACATTGGCTCAAAGGATTCTCTTATAGAGTGGGACCTTGTAATTCTCTTAATGCTGAACTCTGGGGTATTCTCAAAGGGTTAGAGATGGCTTGGGAGGAGGGCTGGAAAAATCTTATTGTTGAATCTGATTCAACATCTGCAATCACCATTCTTTCTAAAAATGGTGTTGCAGCCCGTGAATCTCATTTGGTGGTTCGTATACGGGCGTGGTTACAAAAAGACTGGCAGGTTTACTTAGCCCACACATACAGAGAAGGCAACTGCTGTGCTGACTGGCTCGCAAATTATGCTATGGACAACCCTAGTGCTGAAGATATGTCTATTTTTTGTTATCCTCCTATTCAGATTCATTCTGTTTTTATTGCTGATTTAGCATCTGTTTGTAAGGTCCGTACAATGACTATTGTGTAGTTTCTTGCTGGTTCTTGATTCTAGCTTACCAAAAAATAAAATAAAAAAATACCTGCTTCAAAGTTTATATGAATTTTTTATGAAAATCCAAAACAATATTGTTTTACTCTAAAATTCAACATTTTTTATTTAAAAAAACTGAAGTAGAAGAATGGGGATTGTTGGAGATTTTAATATAGCATTGCTTGACAAAAAGAACTTTCACAAATATGTTCTTTTGGGTTCCACAGACAGCATGTGGCAAATAAAAAGCCTCATGTTCAATGCAGTGACTGTATATGGTAGAAGTCCAAAAATTATTTGCTAAAATTAGGGAAATCAAACCAATCTCAAATCCCTAAACCCAACGAGAGATACAAAGACAAAGAAGATTATAAAATGAGAGGGGTCAAGGAAGTTATCTTCTTTGCAAAATATTTAAGGATGGCTGCAATGAATACGACAAAGGTTTCTTCGATATTTCCAACCTTCAGGAACCAAGCAAAGATTGTTCTTCTCCTCAACAGAGAGTAGACCAAACAATGAAAAAGAGTTGGAGTTAAAGCTCTGTAAACTTCACAAAATCTGGGTAAACTTCACATCTCAAGCGTTTTCTTCGTCATAGTGTTTCTCTAATTAAGAATTATTTTTCTTTTATCTTTTTTGTGTTATAAGATGAGAGGAAGAAGCACGTGCATAGTCAACAGCGTTTGAAATTTTTTAATTTAATTGTTAAACTTACATAGTACAAGGAGGTTAATTGAAACAATTAAAAGTACAAGGTGGTCTTTTGAAACATGATCTAAGTCCAAAGGGGTAACGTGTAATTTAGCCTTTTTCAAATGACTTTTTTATTTTATTTTCAAGTTTAAAAAAATCGACAGGAATTAAGAACACCATTTTTTTTTTCTTTTTCTACAATTGTTTTCATATTTAATTTACATAATGGAAGTTAAAGTTATCAACAAATTAAGAAAAGCATTTAAGATTTTAGACAAGACTTAATAAGTTAATCAATATTTTTAATTTAAAAAATTTATATTTGGATTTAGTATTTATCTTTTAAAAGACATATTATGTCTTTTTAAATGAGAGAAAAATATATACAACAAATCATGAGAGAAAAAGTAATTTTTTTTTAATTTAATCAAAAATATTAATTTTAATTAAAATGACCATTATTTAAAAGGACAAACATTCTTTCTTTTATATTTAACAAAATTATTATTTTGCTCTATAAATTTTTTTATCTCATTTTGTAACTTTTTTTAATTTCTAAAAATAAAAACATAGAATGATTTCCATTACCGAAAGAAAGAAAAAAAATTAAAATAAAAAAATGAATGACTGTGAAACGGTTTATGTAATTTTTGTATTTAAAAAGTCTGAATCACTAACTTTCTCTTTTGCAAAAAAATTCAAAAATAACAAATAAATAAGTATAATAATAATAATAATAATTTGTTAAAAAAATAAAAAAATTTACGTCTCAAATAGCAAGATTATATAAGAAAAACGCTACTGCTTTCGATTTTCAGTCCCAGTATGCCAAACTTACTAAAATAAGCAATTTGAATATCTTATTCACATAAAATATGATCAAACTATATTTCTTTGAAATTTATTATGTTATATATTACAAAAAAATATATTAATATACCTATGAGGTTGTAATTAATTAACACCAGCCAAAATCTTTAAAATTATCCACATCCCATTGTCAGGGGCTTCCATCTTCAATCAATCAATCAATCAATATATATATATATATATATATTCACGTTAAGTTTATAGTTGGAGATATACTAAGTCAATTTTATTACATTAGTAAATATATATCGTCTATGCTTCAAAAGAAATTTCAAATTAAATTTGAATTCTCAGATAAGACAAGACTCATTTGAGTTACAAACTTATTTAGCTCATTAAACTAGTTCAAGTAACTCACAAGGACCCGAAAACTGAGGGGTAATTCTGTTCTGAAATAATACAAAGTAGAAAATGCAACATATAACTTTTCAATTGAAATAATTAAGACATTTCTTTGAAATAACAAGGAACATGACATAGCCAGATGGCTAAATTTAGGTTGGATTTTGGATAAGATATTACTGCAAATGCCACATTTGATCATCACCATTATACACCATTCCCCTTGCTTGAACTTGAGATATTGACAAGCTAGAAATATCCTGTTTAGTTAGCATTCTTGATCCATTTCTTGTATTGTCAAGAAACTCAACTCAACTCACCATTCCCCTTGCTTGAACTTGAGATATTGACAAGCTAGAAATATCCTGTTTAGTTAGCATTCTTGATCCATATCTTGTATTGTATAGAAACTAGAAGGCAATTAATTTTTTCTTTCTTTCTCTCAAACTGACCCCATTTTTAGATGCCTCCATCAGAAGTCAATAGTCATGATTCAACCAAACTGGATGGCACTTTTGAGTCAATCCCCTTCACCTTTTTATCATTTCGTTTGTGTGTCTTATTTAAAGCTTGGTCAGACTGGGAGACAATCTTGGATACTGTAAATCCTGCAACTTCAAAAGTATGTGATCTGTAGGGTATTAAAGAATTGCGAAGAACAACATCAACTCCTTCGTAAATCCAAACTCCTAACACGGCGTCTCCTTTAAGTCCAATGGCAAACCAACCAAGGCCAGCAGCAGCTATGTCTACAGAGCTTGAGTCCCAACTGTTCCCTCTAACACGGAATTCCTTTCTCACCCAATTCCCCAGTTCTTGAACTCGTTTCTCCCCAATAGGTGGCTGAACAAAGAACAATTCAGGCAGGTGTTACACAAGAGGGAACTGTAATGCACAATGAATAATGCTTATAAATCAAAAGAGCAACTCAAGTCTTTCCCTTGTAACATAGAGGTCTACATGCACCTTGCCTAATGTATAAAACTTCACCTTAAGCATATTATGGTAATTGCCTATCTAAATCTTACTAAATATTGTTTTATAGGAAAACAATTCCAGTAAATTTTGCAAGAGCACTGCCAAACCACCTGAAGGATGGAACATCATTAAAATAAATGCTACTAAATCTTTTGACCAGGTTGACTTAATATAATTAACAGATTTCAAGTTCATTTTAACAGCTTTCGCTTCACACCTTTTTTAGTTGGTATACTCCTTCTGGGTCAAAAAAATATATATATAATAGTACAATTTTGTAATGACTGAAAGATAAATCAATTATTTGTTGGTCACTATCCCACTTAGGACAACATTTCAGAATAAGGCAGCAAATTAAGACGATTTTACAAACAGCTAACAAGCTTCATGGGAAAGGAATTGCTGAATAAGCAGTCAATTAAAAAGAGAATAGTGAGTACCTGCAACTGGCGCCCAAAATGGTCTTGAAACATTTTACATGCATTTTCCACTTTACCCATATGCAGGGGAAGATAAGGAGATGCCCACACCGTGACATAAATAGTATCCACGGATGTTTCTTCTATATCCAACCTCATCAGACCAGCTATGTGAATCGAATGACCAGCCTACCACAATTAATTGGTAAAAGAATGAAGTACAGCAGGTTTTAACAAGATATAACAGAAGAAAAAAATGAATACTGCAGCACAAATTAAAAATACAAGTAGGGTAAGGGCAAACCCACTGCAAAAGGTTCACTCACTCGCAAGGGTAGGAATAATGATCGATTGTATGCAGTCTTATCCTTTCAGAGGCTATTTGGTAGATTCAAATCTATGACTTTCCAGTCACAAGGAGCAACTTTACCGCTGCTCCAATGGAGCAACCTTACAGTCACAAATTAACATCAAATTCAGTCCCACAAATTAGCATTTCAATGCACTAACCTTAATTCTGTACGTTCTAGGTTTCAACTCC